TTAGTCTTCGTTTGGCATATAATTTTTTAAATTTTTTTGGTTAAAATAGTCACAGAAAAACAAAATAAACTAAAAAAACTAATAAGGCAAAATGTCACATTCAAACCATAATTATTTTATTTTTTCTTTCACAAAAGTTAAAAAAACAACTCCAAGTTAAAATAGCTAAAAAGCCAATTCACATCCCAAACGAAATCTTAAAATTGAGAATTTTATTGTTTTAGATCACTTATACTGTGTATGTTTTGTTCATGTATTTTGAAAGTATACTATCAAAATACTCTAATTTAAAGGACTACATGATTATATTTTTATAAGAACAGATGACAACCAAATAAATGAGATATTAGAGCTTGTTTAATCAATACTTCAAATTTTATTCGACACTTTAAATATAAAGTTTGGCATGATTGAAAAAAGATAAAAAGTTAAAAAGTCACTATCCTATTTAAGTCATATCATCTTATTTAAGTCACATCACTTTTCTAACACATCACTTCAAACCCAACTCAAACCCAACCCATATTTCATGAAAAGTCAAAAAGTACACTTATTCAAGTTTGGGAAGACTAAATAAGTGTACTTTTTGACTTTTTATGAAATATGGGTTGGATTTAGGTTGGGTTTGAAGTGATGTGTTAGAGAGGTGATGTGATTTAAAAAAGATGATGTGACTTAAATAGGATAATGACTTTTGACTTTTTAAATTTTTTGAAAAATTGTCAAATTTGACCTTAGTCTTTCCAAACTAGGCCAAACAAATTCCAACCAAATAGTCAAAATGCCTAGGTGGCATTTGACATGGCCTCTTATGTCAAATTTTGCATGTGGTAAAGTGAATGTCAATTATTTTTGTTTGATTTCTTTATTCTGTTAAAATCACATTAAGATGAGTTCTTATTAAGGGTTGTTTAGAGTGCCTTAAATAAGTATATTTTTTATTTTTTCGAATTAAAAAATTGTAAAAAAAAATATAAATGTTTGGGTTAATTTTTTGACTTTTTATAGAAAAATGTGTATTAAAAAATTATATAAATTAGTGTGTATGCGTAGGGAAAAATTAAGATTGAGAGTTGTGCAGTCGTAATTGTTGATTTTTAATGAATAGTGTTAATTTTTTAACTTTTTAAGTAACTTTTGACTTTTTAATTTTTTATAGACTTTCTAAACTTAGCCTAAATTTTGGCATGAAAATCTAATAAGGTTAAAGTAAAAATATAATAAAATAAGATTGACATATGGAGTTGAGTCTTTTTTAAATATGTGAAATTTACATATTTCAATTTCACCTAAACTTCAAAAAAAATATTGGCATACCAATTTTTGAATATTTAAGTGAAGATGCTTTTATGCACCAATAAATTGTTATTAAATAATTTGAATTCAATTATTTTGGGTTACATTAATAGATCCACTTATATGAGACCAGTAAATTGTGGATCATTTGAATTATATAATTATGATGTTTAAAAGAAAAACATGACTGGGATGCCAACTAAAACATGGGGGGCCAAATTATTTCATTTATGTCATTTTTATCTTTTGATTTATTAATTTGAATAATTATGCAATTATTGATATTAGTTCATTTTACCATAAATGATTAATATGATTAATCTTTTTGATGAAATATCACACATGTTGGTACAGAGGGATACTTATACAGGTAATTTGCTTAATTTAGTTATATCCAAAAGCAACAATTTGTTACTTACAATTATTTGTATTTTGTATTTTATTGAATATTTTAAAAATAATTTTTTTTATTTTATTGCATGGTATCTAAAAATTTGTCTTTTTAAGTTTCTTTGATTTATTTGAATCACACCATCTCTTTATTTTTTACATTTTTTTTTGTAATAAGTCAAAAAATCAACTTATAAACTACTTCCAAATTGAATCATCCTAAATTAATTAGGGGGATGTGGTCAAAACCCCCTCATAATATAATAAAATTTTAATGTATTAAGGATAAACACAAAAAAAAAAATTTGAAAAGTCTAACAAATATCACGATTATCAAAATATTAAATTTTAAAATAATTTAACTTTTGATATAGATATCGATTTTTAATAAAATTAATATTTTGTAGAATTCTTCCATCAAAATCTAACAAATAAGATCTACGTTAACTATGAAATTCTTTTTTTAAAAAAAATTACTACCGTTGAAATTGATGTAAACAATAACAATAACATGTTACTCTGTCTTACAGTAACATGTAGGGTTGCTCGCGGGTCGGTTTTGGCCGAGTGCAGGTCAAAACCGACCCGACCCGCACTTATGCAGTTGGGGAAAAATGGACCCGCAACCGCCCGCGATGCAGTTCGCGGTTTGTGCGGGCGGGTGCGGTTCGATTTGCGGTTTAGTTTTTTTTTTTTTTATTTAACTTAAGCAAATTTGACGTTTTTTGTTACTTTCTAAACACTATTATTTTTTTTAGAAGAGTTATAAATTAAATTACAAGATATACAATTCATGATTATAATAAATAGTCCACATGTTAGATAAGATGATATGGAACCATGCTTGAGGATAGTATTAATCTTCCTCCTTAGCTTGCAAAAACAAACCCTTAAAAGTCAAACTAGTAGCACTAATTTAAATATGCAAAAACAAACTCTTAAAAGTCAAACTAGTAACTAATTTTAATAGTGGATTAAACTTCACTGTTTAGTTTTTAATATGCAATAATGTGATAATAGAATGACAATTCAAAATATCATATTTAACTGTGTCTACTAGACCAATGGAATATAATGATTTTTTTTTTATATATATATAAATAAAAGTCAAAGTAGTAACACTAATTTAAATATCATTAGATCATGATAATGTATATAAGTGTCCATATAATAAATTTTATTTTCATCCAAAATGTAAAAATAAAAATAATAACTAGTTATCTCCATCCATCCAAAATGCAAAAAAAAAATAATAATAATAATAACTAGTTATTTTTTCTTTAAAAAAAAAAAAAGATGCGGGTTGCGGGTGGGTCGGGTTCGACCCGAACCCGATCTTTTGCGAATTTCTTGACCCGCACCCGCCCGCCTACCTACATCGAAACCGCCCAAAGCACTGCGGGTAGGGTAGGGTCGGGCGGTTTGTGCGGGCGGGTGGGTTTGTTACCCAGCCCTAGTAACATGTGACTTTGTTTGACTGTTACTCTGTTTGATAGTAATATGTTACTTTAGTTAGGGGATTTACGCGTAGGTCTTAATAAGTGAATTTATTATTCAATAGGTCCTATGATAATTAATGACATTTTTCATTAAATACTATTAAAAAATGTCACCAATTGTTAATTTTTAGCGACAATATGAAGATTTTGTTACAAAAAATGTCACTAATTATAAGTTTTAGCGACAGTTTAAAAAAATCGTCACAAAAAAGTGTCATTAATTCACAACTTTTATCAACAATTTGAAAAATTCGCTACAAAAAAAGGTCACTTTTAGCGACAATTTATAAAAACAATGACAACAAAAAGTCACTAATTGTCAATTTTTAACGACATATGTAAAAAATTGTTACAAAAAAATTATTTTTAACGATGATTTCACCAAGACTTATTTTCAATAGACTCGATGAGAATTAAGTCTAACTATTAGAGCATATTGCTAGTTTACCAAAGAAAGAAAATATATATATATATTTTATTTTGTTCTTACTTAATTATCTGTTTTCTCCTTAGGGAGTTTATAAAGAAAAATAAATTGGACGGTCTTTTTCACAAAACAAGGGTCCAATGGAAGGGTTTTGGGGCAATTTAGGAAGATTAGTTTTTTAGTTTTTTTTAGTTTTTTGACTTTTTTGGGTCACACCACCTCTATATTTTTTTACACAAAAAAGTCAAAAAAAATTTGAAAATTAATTTTTTACCATCTTTTCAAAACACTACTTTGACTAAATTTCCCTAGGGCTGAATAAGGAATCCGTGAAATCCGTAATCCGATCCAGTCCAGTCCAGTCCAATTCGATAGGTTTGGATTGGTTTTTTGAATCCGCAGTTCGGTTCTGGATTGAAAAATTAAAAATCCGTAGTCCACGGATTGGTTCCAAATTGAACCCCACGGTTCTGGATTAGAACCGATCCGGACCGTATACAAATAGTCTATATTTTTATTATCCATCCTCCCCATAGTATCTTCTCTTATTCTATATAAAATCTAAACTCAAACCTAAAACCGTATAATATCTTCTTTTATTACTTTTGTTTGTTAGTTTTTAGCTTTAATTTGTAATGGTCTAAATACTCATGGTGAAACCAGTTTTTTTTTATGATTGTTTAAATTCTAGAACAGTATGTCGCTATTATAAAAAAAACATGTTCCTATTATGGAACTAATATAGCGCTATGTTTATATTTTTATGAAATTAAAATGTTATATATATATATATATATTTGTTATTTAATTATGTAAATCCGTGGTCCTAAGTCGATCTAATCCGTATTTAAATGGATTGGTTCGGATTGATTCCATGATTTAAACGGATTGGTTTAGTTCTAATTTTTCAGAAACCGTAGATAACGGATTGGTTTTGATTTTACCCAAATCCAGTACAATCCAGACGATGCTCACCCCTAAATTTCTCAATTAATTACATATGTGTTGCAAGTATAATATTTTGTCAAAAAAATATTAATCTCGTTAATGATGTGAAATAAAATTAATTAATATCAACAATTTAAGAAAATAACTCTTTAAATTTTTTTTAAAAAAATGACACAACGGAAATTTTGGCCGACGCCAACTGTAAGATTGCCGCAATACTGGGATAATTAGACTATGGTGGGGACATTGCCACTCATTCATTCTCATGACATCCACGTCAAAAGCAATCACTGACAATGACTACGTGTTTGACACGTCGGATACTAATTAGACGACAGATCACGCCACGTGTCCAAATTTAATAAACGGCTCACAACTCTCCCCTTTCATTTTCTTTTCTTTTCTTTTGCCGTTAATATAAAGTCATCGCATTTCATTACTCCTCCTCTCACACACTGATGGGAGAGAAAGCTTTAGAGAGAGAAACTTCCTGACGGACTGACGGCGGCCGGAATCTTCATCTCCGCCGGTGGCTCTGCTTTAGCTCTCTCGCCGGCGCCGGATATTTGCTCAAGTTCTTTCTTTCCGGTGATATTTCCGGCGATATCTCAAATGCTTAGCTCGCATTTTGTGGTTTTTTAAATCAAACTCTTTGTTTTCGTTTTTTCTCCGCAATTCCTTCAACTCTTTAGAGCTCGAATCGGTTGTTTTCAAAGCAATTTCTAGGGTTTTTCAATGCTTTTTTTTTTTAACCTTCCGAAGATTCGCATTTGTTTGAGCTCGACGTTTTTTGATTTCTAGGGTTATTCTCAATTGCTAATGTGGTTGTTTTGTTGTGTTTCGTTGTAATCTTCTCTGATTTCTCTTCACATTTTTTCTCTACTTGTTTGGTTTCGCAAATTCTCGCCGTTACAGACTAGTTGATATATACAAATATCTGTATATATTTAGACGGTTCTGTACTTGTTTGAAGTTTTTTTTGAGTGCTAAAGTTCAAAATCAAGTCATTTCAGCTCTGTTTTGGAAGTTGTTTGGTTTCTCTTCTTTTGTTTCAGCTGTATTTTCGCATTGATTTCTTTCTTGAATTGAGTTTTTCTGCAAAACCAAACAATGTCTTCACTTTCTTGACAAGCACCACCATAACTTCTCTATCTCTCTGGTTCTTTATATGCATTATGGACAGTTTGCATTTACTTGAGAACTAAATGCTATTTATTTCCATCTGGGGATTAGAAATGAAGAAGTTGTTGAGTCTATTCATTTTGCTTCTCTTTGTTCCTATTTCTGTGAGATCTTTGAACCCATCTCTAAATGATGATGTTCTGGGCTTGATAGTCTTCAAAGCTGACATCCAAGATCCCAATGGACAATTGGTTTCTTGGAATGAAGATGATGACAGCCCTTGTAATTGGGTTGGTGTGAAATGCAATCCTAGATCTAACAGGGTCTCTGAGCTTGTCCTTGATGGGTTTGCTCTCTCTGGAAGGATAGGCAAAGGCCTACTCCAATTGCAATTTCTCCGGAAGTTGTCTTTGGCGAAAAACAATATTTCTGGAAGCCTAAGTCCTAATCTCACCCAACTTGTGAACCTTCGGATTATTGATTTGAGCGAGAACAATCTTTCTGGCTCAATACCCGGTGATTTCTTCCAGCAATGTGGGTCTTTAAGATCAATTTCTTTGGCTAATAACAAGTTTTCAGGCCAAATTCCAGACAGTTTAAGCTCGTGCTCGACACTTGCTGCAATTAACTTCTCATCCAATCAGTTTTCGGGTCCATTACCGTCTGGGATCTGGTCTTTGCAAGGGCTTAGATCACTTGATCTGTCAAACAATTTGCTGGACAAAGAGATTCCAAAGGGGATTGAATCAATGAATAACTTGAGGGGAATTAACTTGGGGAAGAATAAGTTTACAGGGGTGGTTCCAGATGGAATTGGCAGTTGTTTGCTTTTGAGGTCAATTGATTTTAGCAAGAATTCTCTATCCGGGAATCTTCCAAACACAATGCAGAAACTTACCTTGTGTAATGATCTAAATTTGCACAAAAACTCGTTTGCTGGTGAGGTTCCTGAGTGGATTGGGGAAATGGGAAGCCTTGAGACACTGGATCTTTCAGATAATAGATTTTCTGGTCAGGTTCCAACTTCAATTGGCAATCTTCAGTCTTTGAAAATGCTGAAAATTTCCATGAATGCTTTAACCGGGACCTTGCCAGAATCTATGATCAACTGCAAAAACCTTCTGGTCATAGATTTCAGTCAGAATTCATTGACGGGTAGTCTTCCTGATTGGATATTTAAGTTGGGTATACAGGAAGTTTTGCTTTCAGGAAATAAGATAAGTGGGAGTATGGATAGTCTTTTTTCTTCATCAGCTGAGAATTCGCGTAAAAAACTTCTAGTCTTGGATTTATCCCGCAATGCATTGTTGGGAAAAATTCCATCTGCTGTCGGGGATTTTAGCAGCTTGGAGGTCATGGACTTGTCTAGGAACTCACTCGTTGGTGGCATTCCGGCAAGTATTGGAGAACTAAAGACATTGAATGTTCTGGATTTGAGTGAGAATCAGTTAAGTGGAAACATTCCTATGGAAATCGGGGGAGCTGTATCTCTAAAGGAAGTGAGACTAGAGAAGAATTCTTTGGCGGGGACAATTCCAACTTCCATTGAAAAATGTTCTTCACTAATGTCGTTGTAAGATCTCTTGCTCTGTTCCATGCTTTAATTTTTTTGCCTTTTATTTTGGGTCAGTGATCTGTGGACAAGCACCATTGTTGCAGTTTCTCAAACAGTTTGAAATAACTCTAGTCATTAGATAAGCCATATTCATCAATGAAAACCACATTTGGTTTGGTTTGTCACTTAGCTTCACTACCCTTCATTTTCTTTTGGCCATAGCATATTATGTTTGTTGATTTCGGTAGAAGTATTTGTCCATAATTATCTAGACCATATACAGAGAAGCGAGAATATTTTTACTGCATTAAGTCTCTGATAGGCCAAAAATACATCACTAGATAATTTCAATATCGTTGTTAAATTCTGCTGTGATTCATTGGTATTGAACTGTATTGATATCTTAGAATTGTGCAAAAGATTATTAAAAAAACTTATAAATGATCTAAAATGCTTGATATAAATGTTGGCGTACTGTTAAATGAGAACTTCTCACGATTCTTACATTTTTTCTTTTGGTGTTTTACATAAATTTTGCAGGATTCTTTCTAGAAACTGCCTTACTGGCCCAATACCGACAGCTGTAGGAAACCTTGCTAACCTTCAAATCGTAGACTTGTCTGTTAACAGACTCACCGGAACCCTACCAAAGCAATTGGCAAATCTTTCCCGCCTTGTCTCCTTCAACATTTCCCACAACCAGCTACAAGGCGAACTACCTGCTGGAGGTTTTTTCAACACCATTGCCCCCTCTTCTGTCTCAGGCAATCCATCACTTTGTGGCGCTGCAGTCAATAAAACTTGCCATACTGTCCTTCCCAAACCAATTGTCCTTAATCCCAATTCTTCCGATTCCACACCTGGCTCAATCCCCCCAAACCTTGCCCACAAGAAAATCATTCTCAGCATTTCTGCCCTCATTGCAATTGGTGCAGCTGCCGTGATTGTCATTGGTGTAATTGCTATCACTGTCCTTAACCTCCGTGTCCGATCTTCCACATCTCCGTCAGCTGCCACCCTTGCATTATCTGGTGGTGATGATTTCAGCCGTTCACCCACTACAGATGCCAACTCTGGCAAGCTTGTCATGTTTTCAGGGGATCCTGACTTCAGCACCGGAGCACATGCTTTGCTCAACAAGGATTGTGAGCTTGGGCGTGGTGGATTTGGAGCGGTCTACAAGACCATGCTTCAAGATGGGCGACCCGTTGCAATCAAGAAGCTTACCGTCTCGAGTCTTGTCAAATCCCAGGAAGATTTTGAAAGAGAAGTTAAGAAATTGGGAAAAATCCGACACCCTAATCTCGTGGAACTCGAAGGCTATTACTGGACCCCATCATTGCAGCTCCTCATATATGAATTTGTCTCCGGTGGAACTTTGTATAAGCATGTTCATGAGGGTTTAGGTGGAAACTTCCTCTCATGGAATGATAGATTCAATATAATTCTCGGCACAGCTAAAAGCTTGGCTCACTTGCACCAGATGAACATAATCCACTACAATCTAAAATCAAGCAATATTCTGATTGACAGCTCAGGTGAACCTAAAGTGGCTGATTTTGGGCTGGCGAGGCTGTTGCCAATGTTGGATCGCTATGTTTTGAGCAGCAAGATTCAGAGCGCACTTGGCTATATGGCACCTGAATTTGCTTGCCGAACAGTGAAAATTACAGAGAAATGTGATGTCTATGGGTTTGGGGTTTTGGTTTTGGAGGTGGTAACTGGCAAAAGACCAGTTGAGTACATGGAGGATGATGTGGTGGTACTTTGTGATATGGTGAGAGGAGCGCTCGAAGAAGGAAGGGTGGAGGAATGTGTTGATGAGAGACTCAAGGGTAATTTCCCAGCTGATGAGGCGATTCCAGTGATGAAATTAGGGTTAATCTGCACATCTCAAGTGCCATCAAACCGGCCAGACATGGGAGAGGTGGTTAATATATTGGAGCTGATCCGATGCCCTTCTGAAGGCCATGAGGAGTTGGTATGAACTATGAATTTGACTAATCTTCTAGAATTTGAGAGGAGGGGGGGGGTATTCATCTTCGGGGGGGGGGAAGAAGATGAAAAAAGAAGAAAAAAGGGAAAAAAAAGAATGAAGATGGCATATCCGGCGAAGAAGAATCCGGTTGGTTTATTTATTGAACCAGAGAAGTGAGCCTTGATTGCTGTAATTTTTTTGCTTTTGCTTTTGTTTTTGTTGTTTTGGTTCTTCTCTTGGTGGGTTTTTTTGCAGTATCTATTGTTGCTTCTTCCATGTTAAGCAGTTGGTTACCGGATTCCTTTTCACCGGGTTCCAATTTGGGAGCCCTTCTCGATATCATTACCCCAATTACTGAACTTGTTCATCTTCTTCCAGTTCTTGATATCATCTTGTTTAACTAATAGTTGATGGTAACTTCTGATATCTTAAACTAGTTTTAGACCTTTAAAATTCATGCTTTTTCTAGCTTGTCATGTGCTTGCCCAAATCCACTGTAGTTGTTCATGGTTGTGCCACTTAGTATAGTACTGATGTTTGTGTGAGCAGTATTAAGTACTCAAAATTTTTATTTGGAATTTTATCTAAAAATATCAATGTGGGTCAAATCTAGCCTATATATCGACACCCCTACCCCTACCCCTACGATACACTATTGAATCTCAAGCATACATCTTCATAATGGGTAATATTTTTTGCAATTTTTTTGGGTACTTAGCATTAACTTGTTTGTATTGTGATTCTTTGCAGTTATTTTGTGCTGAACAATCTAGGAATACAAAAACTGGACACAAAATATATATATATAGATGGACAATATATATATATATATATTTTTTTTTTGTGTAAAATCTTGTTAGTTCATTTGAATTTCTTGTACTTTTTTGTGTCTGACTGCTTTGGACAAAGGCTTTATCAGAAGAGTAATAGATAATGTTTAAAAAAAATCCAGCAAAATACAAACTGATTATAAAATTGAGCACATATCTCTCATATAAGGCAAGTTTTTTTATTCTGATTGATTTATGTTTCACCTACTTAATAAAAGGGCAAACCTGAGTCATACTGATTGATTTATGTTTCACCTACTTAATAAAAGGGCAAACCTGAGTCATACACACTAATAGAGAAAGCTTACCCAATTATCAAATTCAAGTGTACACAATGACAGCAATTGTTGAGAAACTGAAAATAAACTAAAATATGTTTTGTGAAGTCAAAAGTGACCTGATGGTGTGAGAGACCTCCAAGATTCTTAGCACCAGCTTTCAAGAAAATATAAATCTTAGTTGTTGAATACAATAATGGAAAGTGAGGACACAAACTGAAGGAAAACGAAAGAAAAGTAGGGTGGGGTATGGAAATGGGAAATAGAATAATGAGGAGTATGATTCTGTCGGAAAAAGAAGCATTTTATTTTCTTTTTTCTTTTTAATATTAGGTTTTATTAAGAAGTGTCTCTAAGGTACAAATAACTGATAACAAAAATTTAAAAGTATAATACATTTTTTTGATAAATTCAATATATTTTTATTAAAATCAATCTAGCTTTTAATATTTTTATATATTTTCAATACACTTTTACACGTTTTCTAACAGTGAACAATGCTTAAAAAATGCTCCTTAACATTCACCTTTAATGTTTTGACACTCCCGTCATATTTTTTTTTTTTTTTTTTTTTTATTTTTTTGATGGGAACTCCCATGTCTTTTTCATTATTATTATTATTGAACACCCATGTCTTTAGGTTGAAGTCTTTTAACTTCTTTAAATGCATATTTTGTTTCTTTCTCTGAAATACTGCCATCTTGTTCCTTCTTCCAATGAGAAACCCTAATTGCATTTATAGCCTCAAATTCCCATGGATTCTCCCTACTGTATTCTTCTATTCTATTGGCCCTATTTGTCGAAGTTTTTTTAAGTTAAAAGTTGATAATCATAAAGCGAAAATTAAAAGTATCCCTGTCTCAGTTTTTAAATAATTAGCTTTTTTTCAGCTTTTTTAAGTTATTTTTGCCTAATAAACTATAAGTAGAAGTTGTACAAAACAGTTTGACACAGACTCCCAAATCAAAATAAGCTATAATCATCCTTCAAAAGCTATAACAAACAGTCTCATTATATATGCAAAAAGATACAATTGGTGTTGATACTTTGTTGTCACAAAATTTTTATTTCCAGATTATCTTTTTGTAATTAACAATTCAAGCATAGATCCCTTTGTAATTGTCAATTCAATTTATAACTGTTCCAGTCACATGAAAATTTCGAGCATACCCATGTTGGTATGCACATCAGCTAGTAGACCATTAATGATCTTCTATTTCAAATTTCTTTATTACTCTATTTCAAAACATTTACGATTATTGAATCATGAGAAAATTTTCAAATAAAAGAATCTCGAAATATAATTCAACAGTTCTTGGTGTTTTGAACAAATAAGAGATTTGAAAATAGAAGATTTGGTACTATATACATACACTTGTATGTCTTTATTAACATATATATTTTTAACATTTCATTTTTCTTTTCTCAACAAATTTAAGTAAAAACTCTCATTTCTCTTGACACTTGACTATAAAAATGTATTTATCATGATATGATAGCAACCTGATCTTGCTATAAGTGGAAATTTGAGAAAAATAAGTAGTATCATGTAACAATATGAATTGAATTCAAACATCATATTCATCCACCAAACTAACCCTAATTTCACAATGTCTTTCATTTTAAGTAAGAGTTGCATTGTCATCCCCTAATGATAAACTTGTTGGCTCCTCCTCAATCCCATCTCCAAAAAACATAGAATTTATTATTGTTACTCTTTGAAAAACTACCCTAGTGTAATAGAGACAAATGGTTAGTTGGCATGGGTATATTTGTCATTGTAAAAGGAGTGTGGGGTCTATATAGCCCTATCGGTTGGTGCTGGCTTTCATTTTTATTGAAATTTTGGCGCAACCAAGTCCATGTGCATTCTTAGAAAGAATGAGTTGTCCCTAATGCAGTGAGGTACAAGTTAAAAATAGTTGGTGTTGGACCCTATTGGAATTCACCTAATGGCATGCATTTTCATCTTCAACTAGCAACACATGGGTCTTCATTAAACTTACTTTTCTTTTAGATTTGGACCATCAAGTCCACTACATTAATGAAAGTGACACAAGGAGAGATTCCACTGCTTCTATTTCTTATTTTATTTATTTATTTTTTTGCCACATGGTAAAATATTACTATAGTAGGTTAATAAATTACTACAGTAGGTCAAAACTACTATATTAACTTGAATCTAAAATTTTACCTTACTGATAACTCAATTCATTGCAACTAAATACCCTTCAGAGTGTGGGTGGCTGCTCTGTGGGCACAACAATCACTGTTGTGCAGTGAAATTAGTCTATTTCGGGATCCATTTTGATAATTCGACCCGTTCACATTTTAAAATACATCAAGCAGAACATGCCTACAAAAAATCAAGTTAATCGGATATCGTTTACCCATTCATCCACTCATATTTGTATCTACAAAAATAAATAATAATTGTGATTTAAAATATTAAAATGAATATAAATGTGAGTTGATGAATGGGTAAACGATATCCGATTAACTTAATTTTTTTGCAGACATGTTTTACTTGCATATTCTAAAATGTGAACGACTCGGATTATCGAAATGAGTCCCGAAATGGATTCATTTCACTGCACAATAGTGACTATTGTGCGGATCAAAATGAGCCCCGAAATAGATTCATTTCACTGCACAACAGTAATTGCTGTGTGGAGGCACAGCAGCCGCCCCCCACCTCCATAGACCACTTGAGTTATAATCCTGTTTTCATTGCTTATGTTCTTGAGATCTTGATCATAGTTTCCCTTTTGTGTAGCTCTTCCAATTTAAAAATTGATAATCTAAATGAAGTTGAAAATATCTTTTTTTCCAAAGTAATTTGATGAAATATAGAATCCAACACATAAAATATGTTGCCATATGTATATATATTTTCATGCTCAGTTCTCTCTACATAATACCTTTTCCTCTCTAACTTCTTGATAATATTTTTTTTAAAAGATATTTAAGTCATTTTTACTTTATAAACTATAAGGTGCACCAAAAAGAGTTACACTAACCTTCCTCGAGGTTTGAAAAAAGTACATCAAGCTCCACAAATTTATCATAGTTACATTAGTTTCTTTTAAATTTTAATTCATATAATATTTAGCACCCTTTTCATCATTAATTCATTGCTCATATGAATGAAAAAATATATTTCTTTATTTCTTTTATACAAAAATAAATCTTTTATCTTTGTGTCTACACACCATCAATATTACATTAGTTCCTGTTGCTTTAGACTTACTAAAAAAAATCAATGTAATTATACCAAATTTTGTATAAGTCTTAATATTTTTTTTTTCTAACCTCTAGTGTGATGATCAATGTAATTTACCCAATAAAAAATAAATAAATCAAAAACACCCTTATAAACTAGCCAATATTTGCCTCCCCCATTAATAGATTCATTGGGAGCCCCAGAGAGACATGGGGGGGACATAGCCCTAGTTAGTGAGTTATAGAAGGCCATCTTGGCCACGTCTCTGACCCATCATGTACCTTGGCCATGCTCAAATGATGGGGTTGTTGTAGACACAATCACCAAAAAAAAAATTTAATTTTAATCCAATATCTAATCTAACACTTTAGAATTAATATAATTTTAATATAAGAAAAGAGTGTAGTAAGGGGCATAAAAGATATAAAAATTGTATCAATATCATGCATTCTTTGGTTAAAAACAAAAATAAAGTAAATGAAAAGAATAAAAAGCAATCTTGAAACGAAGAGAAAGTATTTAGAGAGGAACAAAGATAGATGATTCTGCACTCAATTACCTTCTTTTTATAATGCCCTCTCTTTGCTTTGTCTACACACAAAAATGATTCTCTCTCTCTCTCTCCCAACTTTTGTGAACCACAACACAATACTAGTGGGAGTGGGGGTGGTTCTTGAGAGCATGTCATGTTGGGTTAGGCTTTGTGGGGGCTTATGGATCTTTCTATTTCAAATCCTTGTCCTAAATACTATCATTATGTGTTGTAAATTTTGAATTATACTTTCAATGTAAAAATCCCCTAGTGAGTGAAAAATAAGGAAAAACCTCACTTTTACCCCTTCTAATTGAGTGCTTCTAAATGCACCTAAAAAAAATTATTAAGTACCTCATTCCTTAAGATATTTCACCTTCAAATTTGAATTTGATTTTTTCTTTTGAAACACTTCAATTAATCTCAATCCACACACCCACCTCCACCGAGTGACATTCGTTGTTGCCTCTCATTTTCTCCCCAACAACCTCCACCACTTCCCATTCCCTCTCAAGTCCTCGGCCCTCCCTTTCCCTTCTTAATGCCCCTCACCCCTTCTATGTCGTCCACTATCCCTCCCTTACCTTCCTCGTCACCCCTTCACCTTCTCTCCCCACCCCTGCTACCGCCTCTTCTCAAATCCTAACTATCAACATTAGTGTGCACACACAGAGAGAAGAAGAAATGAGATGAGTGGGTGTCGACAGAAGAGAAGGTGGGGGCAATGTAAAGGGTAGAGAGGGAATTAGGAGTGGCACTAGACGGTGAGGAACGGCTTGAAGAGGGGTTGGATAGAGTTGAGCTGGCCAGAGAGTTTTGTCTTTTCTAGTAATTTAATTTAGGAATAAAATGATACTAACAAAATTTGAAAGTTGGAATGTCCAACAAGAATTTTTTGGGTGCATTTACATGCTCATCTCCTAAATTGATAAATAATCATTTTTATCCACTTAATTCTAAGATATGTTAAAAAAAACCTTATTTTGTCATTTTGATCATTCGCATTGTAAATTTTCAATTCTACTAATGCGAAAATTCCCAAGTGAGTGAAAAAACAATCTTCAAACCTCATTACATTCAGTCAAAAATAAAATAGCATGACAATATAAACTATTAAGGAGAAAGAGAAAGAAAAAAAAAAAGTATACAGCGTATATCACAAAAATCTATAGACATGTTTTGCAGAAACATATCTGTTTAAACTAATTCAATTTGTCAAAAAAATAAAAAATAAAAACCTGAATGCACATGAAACAACAAATTTTTGAAGGTGAAAGACCATGTAAGATCTTTTTCCTTTTGGTTTATCTTCTCTTTTAAAAAAAAAAATCAAAATTCAAAACTGAAATAAAAGAACTAAAAAAAAAACTGTCACCTATTCATCCCAGTCATTTCCCCATCCATCATCATTAGAAGGCCTTGAAGCATGGCCATTTGGCTGTCCATTACTAAAATGCTTTCTGCCAGGTGATTTCACTGCCTTTTCCTCGTCCCAGTCATCATCCCAATCTTGATCCCAACCTACTCCTGTTTCCGCTTTCACAGCTGAAAGAGATTCTGGCTGTCCCATTTCAAGCTCCTGATATGGAACTCCATCAAGATGCCGTTCTCTTTTTCTCAACTTAAAGCAGGCACACGCCCCTCCACTGATCAAAACTATCAATACCAGTAGGTAAGCACCGTGCATAGGTTTTACATAGGTGGCTCGTTTTACATAGGTGGGATCAGATGGAATATGGTAACCAATGTTGTCTTCTGGGGCTGGAGATCCCATGTGAATTACACAATCCCCGTTTCCAGCATTTAATACTACAGACTGGCCTCCTCCAACTTTAGTATTGATCTGGCATGAAACAAGCAAAATGGTCGATGAGAAGCGGAAGTCTGAACCTGAAACTACGCCCCTTCAAACAGAGGGTTACAAATCACAATATTCAACACATTATTCAATCCTAAAAATTTTAGAACAAGCTAGAAGATTACGCTTTGTTGCTTCAATTTTAATTATAATTAAATTGTACTGTGTTTTGTCCTGCCTATAATGGAGTAAACCAACTTTTTGGAACATAACCAGAAGCATAAAAAAGAAGAAATGACAGAAAACTATGGACCTTCTTGGCTTGATGTTTCTGTAGTTTTATCACCCCGAAAGTAGTGTTCTGAGGCAAGATTGTGTAATTCACTGTCAGTGAGTTCTCTTCATCATTCTGGACAATAAGAAATGATCCTTGTGGTCCTACAAAGAAAAAGGGAATGACCGTATCTTTTTCTGTCATAAAGCAAAGCAAAGAAAGAAAGAAAAGAAAAGAAAAGAAAAAAGAAAATCACTAATAACCTATGTTACATGGACTCTTCATTTTTTCAAAAGTACCCATGTCGATACGACATAACGTGGGTACAGGTATAGGATATGGATCCAATCATTTTGTTTTGAAATGGACACTTCTTAGCTCTTTTATTTTTTATTTTTCAAATTTGGAGTAAAATCATTGCCAGAATATCATATTATAGTAAAATTATATATTTTGCATTGCCAAATAAATGCAATTATGGTAAAATCATTGTTTATAATATGATATATCATGGTAAATTTTACTTTTACATACATAATTTCTTCTGCCCCAATTAGAGGACATCCCCGTATTCCTTTTTTGCCTAGTTTGTATATCCTAAAATTTGAAGTTTGATGTGTCCGACCCCTACATATGCATCTATAGTTGCATTGCACCCCACACCAACACCGGAGTCCATGTAACATAGCTAATAATTCATATTTCAATATATTAACTTCCTAAATGAAATAGACAGTATTGATTTAGGAATAAGAAGGCCCAAGCCAAAAGAGAGCTAAAGCAATAAGAATAAACAGAAGTTTAAGTATTAGTGTTTCTCAGCATTCTTGTCCAGATGGTCGAAGTGAATGAACAATACAAAAATAGATGGTTCACATTCTGAAGCAAATGTTGCAATGAACAAAGTACGAAATGAATCTTTTTTCTTTTTCTTTTTTCATTACTTTTGTTTTGTTTTGTTTTGTGGATAAGTAAACATCAATTTGTATTACTAACTCAAGAATGCCCACAGGAATGCAACCATGTACAAAGAGATAAAAAAAGGCTTAAAAAAACAAAAAAGCCAGCTATAAAATCTTCAAGAATAAATGCAATGGCTAATTTATTGAAATCAAAATTTTCCAAATAGAATCGAGCAAATGTATAATTTTTCTTCACACGCTACTTGAGCCACCAAAAAAAAGCCACTTCACAACATACGTAATTCATTCAGTAAGAACAAATGATAATTGAATAACTAATGAACTCAGATCCACCTAAGATGGTAATAATACCAATCTGATGATGACAGTTAACAAATGATATAGGCCATTGATCCAATAGATTAGTCAAAAGTAAGGGAGATTCCAAACTTGGATCTAGGTGTTTCCAGTAGTAGTAACAGAAGTGACTGGTAAAAAGAGCCAATTTGACATCTAGAGAGAAGGTAAAAGCTAATGCACACATTCCAAGCAATTTGAAATTTAGCCAAGGTTATTCAGGTATGCTAGGTGAGCAGCTAGATTAGTCAAAAGTAAGGGAAGATTCCAAACTTGGATCTAGGTGTTTCCAGTAGTAGTAACAGAAGTGACTGGTAAAAAGAGCCAATTTGACATCTAGAGAGAAGGTAAAAGCTAATGCACACATTCCAAGCAATTTGAAATTTAGCCAAGATTATTCAGGTATGCTAGGTGAGCAGCTGCCCCAAAAGCTTAAGATATTAGAAATGTACATCAAAGTCTCGCACCTTGCCTCATTTGCAGCCAAGGTTTCAAATAATGGTTGTTGCAGGGTGTAACAAGCGTAGCGTAACTATTAAAATTTTCATTTTTTGCACAACTTCATGAAAACTTACCAATACACATGTTTTTATTTCAAATTCACATTTGTTGAGGTTTAAAATGTTTTGGAGAATTTTGTATATTTCTTAACACGACCCAATATATGGAATACAATTTTTACCATGTTTAAGTCATTATATGAAAAGAATTTTGACATATTTTCCTTTCAACATTTAATGATTTTATGTGTCCTTAATGATTTAGGGGTGACCATTGGTTCAATAGTTATGACTTAGCCTAATAACCTTAAGGTTATGAGTTCAAGTCTTGGGACCATCACTTTGTGCATTATGCCAAAGGTCAGATATGTACTCAATCTTTTCCCTCCCAAACACACATTAATGTGTACTAATTGGGCTTCTTTTTTTTTTTCTTTTTTTTTTGTGTCATAAATTCCTATTACACCGCTTTATTGTTATTTACTTTGTTATTAGTAGTTACAAACTTAAAATGTCATGTCTTTCAAATTTGCAGATTGGATATGTTCAATAAATAAATGTGAATATCACTGCGGTTATTTTACTAAAAACAAACTAAAAAACATACGATTCATATCTTCAAGTTATACACATAAGGCAACATACAAATCACAAGTTACAACTACATTTAAAAATTTAATTGATAATGTTTAGTTAATAAGTAAAAAACAAAAGCTGAAAGAGGAGAACAATTGAGCAAACAATTAGCTTTTAAATGCAGCGGACACCATTGCCACTGTGATGTAACTGTTACGGGTCTTGCGTAATGATATGGGGCCGTTACACCTGTGAAATTCAATCACATCACCGTATCAGCCGTAACAGGTAATGGTACTACCAATATGGTTATGTAATGGGCGTTACGTATCGGTTGCAACCCATTTTTAAAACCACATTTGTAACCCTCTCTAACATGTGAAGAGACAAATCAACTGAACTAAGACCATGTTTGTTTGAATGAACATGGCATTGGGATTGGACTAATAGTCCTACAAAATGCATAATTAGATGTTTGGTGGAGAAAATTGGGATCTGGACATAGTATCCCCCATATAGGGTGGAATACAAGATGGGGGACTAAGGTTGAGTTAAGATTAATTATTTAAATTGTAATTTTATTTTATTTTTTTTGATAAATAAATTGTAAAATTGCTAGGATTTTGTCAATCGCTTCTCCTAAGCAAATCCAAACATTGCATAGGATATATAATCCAAAGGGATCGATAATAGGACTAACAATCCTAGGCATGTTAATCCCATCTAATCCAATCTGTCCTAAGAAACATAGCCTAAATGAAGTGCTCAAGCACACACCGAACAAAGAGAGAGATTAATACAAAGCAAACTAAATAGAGTCCAACAGAATAGAGTGCACAATAACAACCATTTAAGGGGAACAACAAAATATGACAAGACCTAACCTAAAACTTACTGCAACCAAAATTCTAATGTCATATTAAGTGATCAGTTGTCCCAAAAGCTTAAGTTATTAGAAAATGAGCCTAATAATGCATAAAAAGCACTCAAAAAGTGCAAGGAAGAATAATTAAAACAATGAGAATATATTCATAACAAAAAAATGTTAGTTGGTGTCCCACCAAAGAAGTATTGAGACAGATGACCAGAAGCTGAAATGGAAGAATGTTCGACATAAATAAAACAGTGCTGCAAGGATGAGACAGTCAAATATGCTAGTTAGAAAAGATACCTCAGTATATGGATTTAATAGAACATATGGCCTTGACTGAGAGGACTCGTAAGCAGAAATCCAGTAAACAATTGGCCTAGGGTAAAAGGCATTACTGAGTTTAATTGATTTGAGTTTTTCTGAGGCAAGTTGTAGGACCAGACTACGATGCTTAATTGACTAAACTCAAGAAAAATGTTTAAGGCGTGGAATGTTGTGTAATTGCAAAAATTTGGTGTGACCTACAAACTAGGACACATCTAAGGTGTTACAGTTGTGTCGGACACCAACAATCAACACTCCCCAACAAGTGCAGGTCCAAATGTGTCTATTGCACTATTAAAACACACGTGTCCATCGCTTAGACTTACGTGAGACCCATTGCAAGTTCGAAGAGAATAGCTTAGGAGTCAATGATTAAAATCAAAACAATGCAAATTTATACTTACTGATTCATCATCCTTTAAGCATTTTAATATTAAAATATTAAAATTTTAATTTGTCTATGAATAATGCTTTCTAAAATAGATAATCAAGAAGTTTTATCTCCACTCCTTTTTCAATATAGAATATAAAAATTGATATCTCGCTATATATCATATCTATGTCTTGCACACCCATATCCATGCTTCCTAGCGTGAAAGGTTCCCTTTTCTCCTAGGCAAGGTCCCAATCATAGCTAAAAATGAAAAGGCTCTAAACTCAGTCAACTTGTCAAGGGAATAACTTAACAATAGAAGTTTAGTAGGCTTACTATTGTTTATCCATTATAATTTTGTATGGAAAATTTAATCAGCATGTGGAATGGTAGTTTAAGCCTTCAGAGGCTTCAAAGTAGAAAACAATGAAAACTTATCATTTTCAGTGGGTATTATCTGTCATGGCATTGGATGGTCATCTTAGCTCCTGAACATTGCTAAGTCATCATGGAACATCACAATTCTACATATTTAAATGGACGTTGCTGGAAGGGTTTCCAACTCAAGGTACTGGAGAGCTGAAGAATTGTCATCAAATTTGGTCGAGAAAAGCATGTCAATATCAATGAATGCGCTATTGAGACGATCTCCTAAAAATTGGTGTTGAATGATGACATAAATCCCGATCGATGATGACAAAAATATTGGTTCACAGATCATAACTAAAATCTGTTCGGGTGGGGGCCGTTTTAAGCTAGATGAGAAAGTACATAGGTGATTTGAATCCATACATCAAACAAGGGAAGAAAAGAAGATAAATCAAATAATAACATCATTGAGTGCATCCTATTGGGAAAAAAAAAAAATTCAAACTCAAAAAATCAAGGAGAGTTAGAGGAGAACAAGCATAGAGGCACTAATAAAAGCTTCAATTCTTATTTGACATTTCCATACATGTTTCAAACTGTAATCTTATTAGAAGTTAATTGAGAGTCTTATTTTCATCTTCCCAAGAGTTGGTAGTCCCTGTCCTTGCAACTATTGCAGTTTCTTTAATTTAACATGCATATCAAAAGTAAGTGGTAAGTTTATTGGTTTCTGTTATTTTGTATGCCTGGTTTGTCCTACTGAGATTGGATTGAATAAAAACCAACAAAACAAGTATAAGGGTTAATAATAAAAAAGACATATTTACAAGGGTTGAGTGGCTCCAATTTCTCAGAATGAGGATTTCTCATGCTTACTTTTCCAATTAACTCAATAAATTCTGTGGACATCAGAAAGAAAAATTCAGCAGGGGAAAAAAAACAACAGCACAACTTTAAAATGGTCCCTTCCAAGACGCGGTTTTTCTTTGTCGTATAGTCTCTGTTTGGTTTTGCCTGCCCACCCATTCAGCCATGGAAAAGTGGGAAAGAGAGGGGTTAAGGATGGGAGATGAGGGGACTCCTCCAATTCTCCTTCAATTTATTTTTCATCTTTGGGGCTAACACATAAAAGGCCAATTTGTAGGCTCCAAAAAACCCTAAAGACTAAAAAAAAACCTTTAAAAATTCTTCCCACCTATTGTACTAACAAATAAAGGTGTGTGAAACTAAACAAATAAATAAAATGAAACAAGTTGACTAAAACATTTCCCTTCTTAGAGCCTTGAAACATTTGGACATTATAGTAATAACAATTATTAAAAAAATACTAAAACATCAAAATCTTTGATAACTTACATATCTATAGAAATCCTGAATACTAACTTCTAAAATTATAAGTCTGTGGCTATAACTAGCTTCCGTAACTGCGTAACTGATTTTGTGAAACAAAGTTGGAGTGCCAAGGTGCATCACACCCTCCCTTTGCATAGTCAAAGGATCTATCTTTGTGGTAATAATGTCATTTTAAAAAGTTGGTAATCAGAAACCCCAAGTGGAGTTTTGTTTTTTGTTTTTTGTTTTCTTCAAAGGAAACCCTCATGTTGCAGTTGAAAGGATTTCTGATGATGAGGGGAAAGAATCAAAGCTTCAATATTCATATTTTCCAACTTCCATAAAGTCTGAAGAAGGTTAAAGAAGTGGTGACTTTGTAAGATTTAGGTGCTGCAACATTAAGAAGATGCTAAATAGAAGTAAAAAAAGAAATAAAACGCATTAGAAGAATAGCTTCTTCTTCTTCTTCTTCTTCTTTTTTCCTCTCTTTTTTATGGGGAGCAAAAATGAAGATTAGGTTATTCAATGCAGCTTCATGAAAACATGCTTACTGAAGGAGACGCAGCAAAGTTGTTTTAATATCAAGAGGTTTTAGATATTTATCAATCAGGTGGGGTCGACTATAGGAATCCTCTTTCATTTTTCCGATCTACAAACGTCTACATGCTCAGTTAAATTAGGTATAACCACAATAAATAAATAAATAAATAAACAAAGGAATGTTAGTTATGAATATTGAAGACCAGTGGTAGAACCCAAAAAACAACCATTTTTATTATGCTAGTTCTATCATCACACTTGGGTAGACTACAAATCATGTAACTCCACTAATGTCATTTAGACTCTTACCCCACACCGCGCTTCCCTTGACGCATGCATGTGGGATACTTGGTCAACACAACATGGCATGGATACAAGTATGATACAGTTTATGTGCTTGACACATTACCATATTGAACTCTTCTATCCTCTACATGCAATGATGAGAGAAAAAGAAAATGCTATTTGACAGCATGAAAGGATTTTCATTGCTTCTCATGTGAAGAGGGGCAAGTGCAAACCCCTTTTCTTCCACACATCCCATTTACCAAACGAAATCAAAGCCTTCTGTCCCAATAAATTAGGGTTGGCTAGCTCTGTCAAAGGCTATTTGTTTAGTTAAATTAAATGAATTCACATATTTAATTTGTTTTCAACTTATCTTTAATTGGTATTACTCCTATCATTTCACGAATGTATTCATTACTAATTCTATCTTTTACGGTCTTAGCACAAATCCATTTTAGCATCCTTGTATCAACTACACTTATTTTATTAATGTGTTGTTTCTTAGTTATCTAACATTTTATCTCATGAAGCATCGCTGGCCTTGTAGCTATTCTATAAAATTTTCCTTCAATTTTGTTGGTATATGTCGATTGCATAATATGCCAAAAGCATCCCTTTACTTCCCAAGCTCGGCTGAAGTTTTCAATCAAGTATAAACTTCTGACAATTGGATTGGATCATTGACAGTTTGCTTCCTTATACTAGACTTAACAACCTTTGGACTACTAATACTAAGGATGAATAGTTGTATAAGGAAAAGACGCTACTTAGCCCCACATTAGTAGGAGTAAGGAATTGAGTTAGCCTAGCCTACTTTGGTTGTATAGGTCACATCATCTCTAACCTTGTTATCCTTTATTACTAATCAAATCTAGATTACAAAATTGTTCTCTATAGTATCTCTTGATTTTCAATCTTCACTTCCCATCACTTCTACTTCTATTGCTCCAAAATTACATTGCATAATTTTAGTTTTAGTCCTAATAATTTTAAACCTTTTTTCGACTCAAGTACTTCTCTCCAAATTCTTATCTAGAGTTTATTTGTCTTTTAGTTCATCAACCGATAGGCAAGAAAGGCTAACCTTTCATGCAATCCTATAGTTACGAAAAATTCAATTGTTTCTCCTATAGGTGATCTAATTATATTATAGTCATTACCTTATCATACATGTCCTTTATCACATCAATATTCCTCTTTGGTTTTTTTTATTTTAAAAACTACGATAATATATCTTTAAGTACCCTGGTATCAACTTTTTCTAAATCTATAAAATGGAGATCTCTCTTCTTCTCTCTACACTTTTGTATTAATCTCCATATTAAGTGTATTGCTTCCATCTAAGAAACAAAACAAAAACAATGTAAATTTATATCTATTGTCCTCCTTTAGATTTAAAAAACTATTATATTTGATTCAAGTATTCATATATATAACATATAATAATTATTTATCTTTATATATGACATAAAATAAATACATAAAATTATAAATTTTGCACATGTCCTCCATGTTTGTTAAAAAATTTCATGTCGTTGTGTCTGTGTCGTGTCACATTTTCATGTTTGAGCTTCTTAGGCTTCCACAAATGATCAACAAGGATAAATCCAAACTAATTCTATGACATTGTTATTGCAATTCTTAAGAGATGTTGAATCACTCTCATGCACAATTAACACCTCTATAGTTGTAATTTTAGATATTTCCTTTATTTTAATATATAGATACTATAATATTTTTTCTACATTCACCATTTGGTCTTAAAGCCATATTTGATTTCATTTTCTATGCTACGATGTCCACCTCAAACTTCCTCAAGATTTCTAAATGTTTTTGTTTAACAGTTTCTTGCAATAACTTTTTTAGATTTCCTTAATCTCTTCATCATTCACTAACAACCTTGAATCCTCAATTTTTATACGCAACATAATAAAAGTCTCTTGATTTTTTTTTCTTATCTCAAGTTAGCAAGCTTGTAAATATTATTTTTCTCTATCATTCTTTTTAACCTCCTTGTTAGCCCATTTATATCTTTTATAAATATAATTTATTTATTTTTTCATTTTTAACCTTTAGCCACTTTTTAACACATTCAATTTTTTTTCCTACGACTTGTACCTCATCACGCCACCCCCAATTTTTTGTTGAATTTAAGAGCTTTTTTCTTTCAACTCTCCAAAACTTTGTTCAATGATTTTTTTAATATATTATGTCATTATATTCCGCATGTTACTAGTTTTACCTTCCAAACTCAATGTTGCTTCTTTGAACATTTATAATTTCTCACTGTTTAGATTCCATCATCTAGTTTTTAGATCCTAATATCTTTTTCGGTTGATGTTTCCTTTTAATATAGATATCAAGTATCATTAGCCTATGTTGTGATGTTAAACTCTTTCCAAGAATAACCTTGGAATATCTACATGCTAAATGGCCTGCATTCCTACAAGCAAATTATCTATTTTGACTCTTATTTGACGCACTTTTTAAAAGTTATTAAGAGTTCTTATCTCTTTTTAAAGAAATTGTTGGTTATTATAAGACCGAATGCTACTACGAAATCCAAAATGCCTTTAGCAGCCTCATGGCAATCAACGAAACTACATCAGTCATTCATACGTACATCCTCTACTACCTTTGCTTATCTCTTCCTACATTATCGCTAAAATCTCCACGTATAACTATCTTTTATCCTATGGGCATCTCTTGCATTAATTCATCCATTTGATCAAAAAATTGTCCTTTAATATGTTCATCTAATTCTACATGGGGTGCGTAGGCACTAATAACATTAATTACATTTTCTCTAACTACAATTTTAATTAACATATTTTTTTTTCTCATTTCTTTGTAACTATTACTACATTAATTTTAGGGTGTTTAGCTACTACTATTCAATATTCATATACCATTTCTACATCTATCTTTCCCGATATAATAAATTTTATGCTCAATAGTTTTACTTCCTTGACTTTTTTTGATCGGCATTTTTTACCTCCTTGACTTTCTCATCACCAACTTAGTTTATTGTAAGTATGTTATACTAATTTTCCTTTTTAATCATACCATGTACTAATTTCATTATTTAACATGTTAATGTTCCTATATTTCAATTTGCTAATTTAAACCTACAATTCTAGACTAGTTTCTCTACCAGTGCTCATACTGAGAAGCGCAAGGACCCTTGCCTATTTTTCACCACACTCAATCACCAGTGTGACACTCCTTGCCTAACGTGTTGCATACAAAGAACACCTTAGTCCTTGCTCACATATTCATATTCATTTGGGATCCAGCGGAGTTTTTCCTTACTAACTGTCAGGTTACCTAACACATAAGATACAACCAAATTTATCTGAGCTTGAGACCAACAGTGTCGAGAAGAATATAACAAAATGTCAAATGAAATATAAGAGCAACTCCAATGGTTAGATTCTTATATACCACTCCAATGGCCATTGGATCTACATCTGCTCCTCAAAAAGTCTCTTGTGATTGTGATTTAGTTTTACGGATGTGCCAAAAATGGCTTCTTTTTTTTTTTTTTTGATAATTACTGGAGTTGCTCTAATTTTTGTTTGATAATTACTGGTGCTCACATATTCATATTCATTTGGGATCCAGCGGAGTTTTTCCTTACTAACTGTCAGGTTACCTAACACACAAGATACAACCAAATTTATCTGAGCTTGAGACCAACAGTGTCGAGAAGAATATAACAAAATGTCAAATGAAATATAAGAGCAACTCCAATGGTTAGATTCTTATATACCACTCCAATGGCCATTAGATCTACATCTGCTCCTCAAAAAGTCTCTTGTGATTGTGATTTAGTTTTACTGATGTGCCAAAAATGGCTTCTTTTTTTTTTTTTTTGATAATTACTGGAGTTGCTCTAATGCAATTGAAAGAGCAGGACATGTCCATGTATGTGTAACCAACTTTTGTGTACACATTTCAAGTTGTCCAGTACCGTCTCTCTCTCTCTCCCACTTGCTGTTTCCTATTGACATTTTCTAGATAGTCGACAAAACAACATTTTTCTAATTAAAAAGCTTCTTATCTTCAGCAATTGCATCAATTAATCTTTAAATTGCACAAGAGATATAATGCTAAGCTAATTAGTGAAGCAAAATGCAGTTGGTTTATCAGAAGCTCAATTGCAAAACTAAAAACAATCACATGACAATAATAAAATGAATGTGAATTACCACTTCCCGGCAGGCACGCGGTCATATTCTTCAAATCTTGGCACCATCTAGACGATGAAATCTCACATCTCTCATCAGTGATGCCATCATTTGGTTCCGCCAACGGCGAAGGAGAAGGAGAAGGAGAAGGAGGTACCTGATCACCATTCCCACCGCTCCCTCCACCAAAATTGGAATCAACGCTCGAAACGGGGCTCGGCGAAGGAGCCACCTAGAAAATACATCAAAAAAAAAAAAAAAAAAAAAAAAAAAAAACTAACAACAAGAACACAAATCTCTAAATTGTGAAGAAAAAAAATATATAGATTTGAAAAAGAGGAACCTGTATTGATCTGTTGTCGAGACTGTCATCTTGGGCGAATTTGAAGAACGTTCTGATTCGAGATGCGTTTGAATCTCTCGGAAGGAGCAAAATCAAGAGAACGCCCATCGTGATAATTAGCTTGGGGTACATTCTGGTAAGTATAAGCAAATATGAAAACTAAACCCTAAAACCTCATTCTTGGGGAGAGAAGGGACAAAACAAAGTTGACGGACCAACAGAGGAGAGAGGTATTGGCGTCAATGATGCAATTTCACGAATTGAAGAGAGAGAGAGAGAGAGAATGAATTGATATGAATGAATGTAAATGTGTGTGTGGAGTCAATTTGAAGTCTATTGTTGATGTTGTTGTTGTGATTAGCCTTCTTCTTCGTAACGTCCGAAGAAGTCGTTTATGGCGTTCGTGTTCGTCGTTTCGGAACGCGTTTTTTATACGATTAGAATTGGAGATCCCACGCTCGATTCGTGACAGTGAAAGGATTTGATTTCACCACAGCCGTTCGATGGGGGCGATGATATATGTGAATTCGACCGCTGAGGTCTACTGCTTGGATAGTTCGCTCCCTAACGTCTAACCTAACCACCTAATTATCGACATTAAGTATAATAATTTTTATTTTAATATAAACTATAAACACATCTCTGATACAAATTAAGGCTCGTTTGAGATGACTTAAATAAGTGTAAGTGTATTTTTTATCTTTTTATAAAATTATGTACAGAAAAGTAAAGAAGTGATGTGATAAAAAAAAATAAAAAGATGGATTATATTGGAGTTGCCAAACTTGGCTTAAATTGAATTAGGTTTTAAGTCATATCAAATGGAATCACTTATATGAATAATTTTTCTCTATTCCACTTTATCAAAAATTATTTGGTTAGTCAAATTAAAAAGATTCATATCTCTATTTATTTGTATAAATACATCCTTAATATTTGTTTAAAATACAAATTACTTTATGTGATTTTGAAAATTGTATCTAACTCTCTAAAGTTTTTGATTTTATAACAAATGGCTAATTTTATCAATAAATTATCAAATAAATTAACATTTTTTAATAATGTCAAATATATTTTTAATTAATAATTCAAATAATTTTATTATTGAATAGGAGAGCAGTTAGAACTTTCATTTTTCTAAGTAATTCTGTTAAATAAAAAAAAATTACAATGAGATATTTATAATTTTTCAAATCACAGGGGACAATCTTCATTTTAAGTATATCTCAGGAGGTTTATTTGTAATTTATCCTTTTTTTTTAATATGTTATTTAAATTAATGTTAGTATAAATAGACACTGAAATAAGTAAACATAAATATATATTTTAGTGGAAAATACGACTAATAAATTATTGATAAAAAAAAGTTTATATATATTATGCGAATTAAAATCTTGAGGAAAATGAGTGTAATTATGTCAAAAGTATGAAATTAATTGTATTTTTTTCAAATCTTAAGAGAAGTGATTGTAATTTACCCACACTTTTTACTTTTATAATTTGGCTTAAATTTTACTTAATCCTTATTGCTTTAATTTGAGTAATTCAATTTTTACATTTCAAGTCTAGTTTCAATTTAGTCATTTCGTTCAAATTTTGTTAATTTTTTTTTTCCTGTATACATCTTTAAAGGTTGACAAGTGTTCTAAAATTATTAATTTTAACATTTAACTTGAACAATCAAAGTGCTTAAAATTAAAACAATAAGAATTAAAGTGAAATTAAATAGAATTACAAGGGTGAAAAGTGTAATTATCCTAAAATTATATACGATGGGTGAAGCTCTATTTTAAGGTATAACTATTTTTATTTTTTTATTTTTTTTGTAATAATTGAATAATGATTGCATATACATAGTAGGTTACATAATAACATTTTATTGAATAATAATAAGAAAAATTATACATCAGTGGTGCTTTCAAATTTTTTTTTTATACATTCATAAAAAAAATTATGAATTAATTTTAATATTTATAAAATTTATCATTAATACATAATTATTATTCAAAATCCCACTGAATTGACATTTTCTCATAATAATACCACGATGTAATATCACTGTCCCTTTAAATTTTATTCCACAGTGAGTGTGTCTTTGTTGAGTCAAATTCACAATTTAAAAAGATAAAATTATAAAGAAATGATATTTGAGATTAAATTAGTAAGAAATATTTTAAAATTGCAACATAATTAGAATGACTGAAACTAATTTTAAAGGTGTGGAATCTCCTCTAAAATTGACCTAAGTATACTTTCCCTTTTCTTTCTGTGAGGATATATTTTCTAAGTACCAACACGTGGCAAGGTGACACCGACGTGTCAGCCGAGGTACCACGTGTCCTGGTCGTGACACCGAGGTGATCTCGGTAAGGCCGAGGTTATCTCCGAAGATATCGGAATCCGAGATAAGTGGATAAGGGACAAGAGTCCTAGAATGAAAAGGGAACTCAACCTGGATAAGGGACAAGAGTCCTAGAATGAAAGAAAAGTTCAGTTTGTATTAAGATAAGACTCTTAGAGAGTTTATCCTAATCTTACTGGGAGTCCAAGATTAGCAGCAATCCTGAGTCCATAGAAGTTAGGCTTCTATTGGGACTAGGTTTATGTTGGCTATAAAAGAGAGGCACCCTCATGGGTCTAAGGTATGTTTTTTAGGCTCAAGCTTGTGAGTTGAATAATTGATTATCTTTGAGAGATATACTGACTTGATCGTCGGAGTGCCCCCGGGTGGACGAACCATCGCGAGATTCTTATATTTCTATTGTAGGTCAGTCAGATGCTATCTATTCTGTCAGTGCTCTCCAGCTGAATTACTGAGTTGGCAGTGTCGTCGGAAAATTTCCCACACAATTTGGCGCCGTCTGTGGGAAAGAAAGAAAAATAGATGGCCAATAAAAGAAAGAAGAATATATGGCCAATGATGGACAGAACGATTAGATTGGAGACAACGCTCCTGCTGGGAATAAGAGATCTATCAACCTCGATGTTGAAGGAGACAACAGCAACACAGAAACTTGTGACCAGAGTCATGGAGTGAAAGACGCCGGCCAGAAAGGTGACGCACCAAAGACAACAGATTGAAGCGGATACTACAACGAAGATGACCTCCAGGTATGGAAAGATAGATACCTGCGGAAAAACGAAGACCCTTCCAGAAGGGATGCAAAGACATGGGGCATGAACGCTCCCAAGGAGATAACATTCAAGTATAGAAGAACTCATCCTGAGTGAGCAGATCCTGGATCCCGAATCCGAGAAGACATGATCTCAGCCTAGACAAGTAGGCCCGAGAAGACGAGAGCTCAACCTAAATTAGCAGATCCCGGATTCTAGATCCCGGATCCCAGATCCCGGATCCCAAGGAGATAATATTCAAGTATAAAATAACTCATCCTGAGTGAGCAGATCCTGGATCCCGAATCCGAGAAGACATGATCTTAGCCTAGACAAGTAGACCCGAGAAGACAAGAGCTCAACCTAAATTAGTAGATCCCGGATTATAGATCCCGAATCCTAGAAGACATGATCTCGGTCTAGATGAGTAGGTCCGAGAAGAGAAGAGCTCAACCTGAGTGAGCAGATCCAAGATTCTAGCAGACAAGAACTCGGCACTTAGGTTCGAAAAGAGAAGAGCTCAGTGAGCAAATCTCAGATCCCAGAAGATAAAAAAGAAAACACACAAGGTTGGACTGCAGTTAGCCAGGTTGAGGACCTTTTATAAGGTTCGCAAAGGAGTATGTGGAAGCCGTGCAGGGGGCAGAGAGAAGAAGAATATGTTTACCACTTGTTGAAATTTGAAGCAATTTACAAGTTGGTTAAACCGAGATGATGTTTACCACTTGTTGAAATTTGTAGCAATTTACAAGTTGGTTAAACCGACGATATTATTCCCACTTGTTGAAATTTGTAGTAATTTACAAGTTGGTTAAACCGAGATGATGTTTACCACTTGTTGAAATTTGTAGCAATTTACAAGTTGGTTAAACCGAGGTCATGTTTAACACTTGTTGAAATTCTGTGTGAATTTACAAGTTGAAGTTAAACCGAGATGATGTTCAACACGAGGTCGTATCGGAAGAAGATTGGTTTAAACACTTGTTAAAATTCTGTGTGAATTTACAAGTTATAGTTAAACCGAGGTTATGATAAAGGAAGATGGCTTAACACTTGTTGAAATTTTGAGAAAAATTTACAAGCTGAAGTTAAGTCGAGGTTATGATAAAGGATGATGGTTAAACACCTGTTGAAATTTTTGAGAAAAATTTACAAGTTAAAGTCAAGTTCAAGCAATATCTGCGTACTTGCCGATACTACCAGGTTGTCAAAACTTGAAATATGAAAAACTGAAGTATTGATAGAAGACATTGAGAAAGTGACAAGTCCTAAGCAACACTTGTGAAAATATTTGTTACAATATTTTCAAGTGTTAGGACAAGGCCGACATGAGCAAGATTAGAAGTTGTGACAGAGGTATTTTACCCGAAGAGATTGCACAGTCAAGGTGTACTTTGAAGACATGCAAATTATTCTAAGTATAGAATCATACAAGAGCAGAAAAAAAAAAGACATGCATTTAAAGAAGAAAATCAGAGAAATGCATTTAAAGAAGAAAGAAGACACTTCGACCTGAATATTGAAAAATAAATTATTCAGACTACAAAAATGGCACGTCGGCCGGATTAAAAGCATACAAAGACGGACAAAGTACAAGGTACAAGGTACAAGGAGTAAAAGAATGATACAAAACTACTCGGTATCAATGGCAGGATATAGAAGACAGTTGGGAAAACTTCTCAGCAGCCTTCTCGGCCTCGAGCTCAGCATCGATCTCCCGAAGAGTTTGATCAAGGCTTTTCTCGCCGGTTGGCACCTCGGAGTTTGAAGGTAAGGATTGAAAGCAAGAATCTGGAAAAAGACACAGAAAACAGAAACAAGAATGTAATTCGTAATCAAGAATGGTGATGAAGCTATCAGGAAATCAAGACAAAAAGATTGCACAAGTGTGTCAAGCCAAGAACAATGGCAGAAATCAACAGATGTGTGAACAGTGTGTATTTAAGAAGATGATTTGGAAACAACGGGTAAAACAGCAATGGATTAACAATGAAGCAGAATTTTTTGGAAAGCAACAAGAAATAAAATCAGGAGGAACAGTGGCTTACAAGAAAGAGGAAAGCCGGAATGAGAATTACCGAAGTCTGACGACAATGACAGAATGACGTAAGCTTCACCGGAGGAGAGGAACGAAGACAGTTGCAGAAACTTGAAAGCTTGGAACAATGACGGATTTAAGCAAAAGAGTTAGAAAGAGAAAAAGCCAGAGGATTGAATGAAAAAAGAGAAAAATAGTTAAAAAGACGACAGAGTTCAAGAATAAAGCCAAGTGCACAGGCACTAAGTAAGTATGTGAAGA